CTAATTCCTGGAAGTGATTGTAAAGTAATGTGTTAGTCTTTCTGATTACGTTGGCCCTGTGCTCCCAATTTTATATGTAATCATAGATATGTATATAATCCTCGCTATATAACTAGGAGTTTCGACACACATTTATACACACACAGGGCATGTCACTAGTCTAGCAAATTAACTTTTAAGGCCGCGTTAGCTGCCACCCGCATTTTCAGTATTGAAGAAGCTTTCCGCCTTAGTTTTTCATTTTTTTTTTGCCATCCATACAACAGCTGGCAACGTTTCTATTTTGTTCGGCTCGGATTTTGCCCTGTCGTCATATAGATTGGAGAACAAGAAGGAACTAGAGCCTAGAAATCGGGAGGAGTGCTTTTATACCCTGGTGACCATAGATCACAAAGATTGCATAACTCTAAAGGGGATAGGTGTCCAAAGATTTAACCGGAGACCAAGGATGTTGGATGATAATGATGCATTGGCTCCTTACACAATTTTTAAAAACAATAAATCATTATGTGGCAGCACATTCAGGGTTCTACGGATTTACGCATTTCAGGCAGATTAAAACCTATCTTCCTGCGCATCATCAAACAATATTCACATCGGCAACAATGACGGAGAATGTGGAAGCGCTCAAAGAACTTTATTTAACCGGTTCAGTGGTTCTTATGAAATTGAAGGTCCCTTCTTTTCCTCTATTTATCTTGTGCTTTTCCTTTTTTACCAGTTCTGTTTTGTAGAAGCGTGACACATAAGCGAACACAATAACAAGGAAAATAAATAGCAATGCGCACCAGATTAGCTGGTGCGATCATGCGTTTTGTGCAATCCATCCCATCGAACGATTGCTTATTAATGATTTTCACTGCTTTGTACTTTAGTCTATGCAAAAATAGTTCTAACATTGAAAAACAGTTAAAAATTTCACGCACCAGCGTATGAAAGCTGATTTCGAAACCTTGAAGGAGTATCTGGAAAACAGTAGAATTTCACGCACCAGCGTATGAAAGCTGAATTCGAAACCTTGAAGGATGAATATCTTTCCGTGATTTCGATTTCATGCACCAGCGTATGAAAGTTGAATTCGAAACCTTGAAGGATGAATATCTTTCCGTGATTCCCCGCACCAGCGTATGAAAGCTGAATTCGAAACCTTGAAGGATGAATATCTTCCCGTGATTCCCGATGCACCAGCGTATGAAAGCTAAATTCGAAACCTTGAAGGATGAATATCTTTCCGTGATTCCCGCGTTAATAGTTAGCGCATGAAAGCTGAATTCGAAGCCTTGAAGGATGAATATTTTTCCTTGATCCCAGAGTTAATTTTTTTCACTGCTTTGTACTTTAGTCTATGCAAAAGTAGTTCAAACATTGAAAAACAGTTAAAAATTTCACGCACAGCGTATGAAAGCTGAATTCGAAACCTTGAAGGATGAATATCTTTCCGTGATTCCCAAGTTAATAGTTTGGCGCATGAAAGCTGAATTCGAAACCTTGAAGGATGAATATCTTTCCGTGATTCCCGAGTTAATAGAGTATAAAGTTGAATTCGAAACCTTGAAGGGTGAACTCGTGATTCCCGAGTTAATAGTTTACCCACCAAAATTTTCACGATGCCGTAGGTGATACTCAAGAGCGCGGGAACGCTGAATTTGAGTGGGCAAGGTTGAGCGTGGTCAGTGGGTCATTACCCTGAAATTTCAGCCTCCTAGACTGCGTGGTTCCCGAGATATTAATTTACTCGTAAAAAATTTCCACGGGGCCATACGTGTTACCCAAGGGTACAGGGAAGCTGAATTTAAATTTGCAGGGTCACACGTGGGTGGGGGACTTCCCCTAAATTTTCAGCTTCCTAGCTTTTGTGGTTCCCGAGTTGAAAGTTGCGGACACACACACAGACAACCACGTGACAATATACGTTTTGTACTGCTGTTACACAGCACAAAACGCATAAAAAGCAACAACCCAATGAAGCGTAGAAAATGCGTGGTAGATGTCAGCAAGTTGTAGCACATTTCCAAGCAGGTACTTACCTTTTGGTTCGATTTGGTATGAAATGGTATTATTAAGGTAGTTTGTGCCAGGAAGAAGAGTTGGGCTGGTCATATGGGAAGAATGAGAAATGGAAACATGCGATATCTGTCCAGTTTTGAAATGTAAAATTTAACTCCTTGAATGATAGAGATCATTTTTAGGAGGGACAGCTGCCCAGTGGTGATCAACTCTCGCAGTACCACATTTCATGCCAAAACGATGAGGAGCGCTTCGCCATCTTCTTGGCTTTATTGAAACTGAAACTGCTCATTGGCAAATCGATTATTTTTGTCAAAGATACGGATCGCTGCTACAAGTAAGTCCTTTTTTTTGGGCAGGAGGGCGGGGAGGGGCGGGGGGGGGG